GTGGTGTAGGGGTGTGTGCATGTGTGGGAGGAGTGCCTCACTGCAGAAACCTGGCCTGCTGGACAACAGTGACAAAAAAGAGTGGGGGAGGGTTTATGATCGGGGGGGCAAAATTAAAAAAACAAACTAAATTAAAAACACAGAGCACGAGAGCAATTCTCAGGTAAGTTGAGCCCAGAGACCCCATACAGAGAACGTTCTTCACAGCCCCTTTCACTCTGAGACACAGGTGTCCACGCAGATCTCCCGAAAATCTACTGACTGATCCCACACTGACAGCCCCCTTGTGCTGAGCTTAGAATCGCCTTGTCTCTCACCAGGTGTCCCCTCGTGCGCCTATCAGAGCTGACCTCACAGAGCCGGACTGCGGGGGTTCGGTGGATGGGGAGAGAGGAGGGAGAGCAGGAGGGGAGACTCACACTGCACGTTGAGCTGGACCAGTGCCTCACGCCTTTTGATGTTCAGCCCGTTGTACTGCGCCGTCTGGCAGCGGTAGGAGCCGCTCATGTTGCGCGTGACGTTGTCCAGTCTCAGGCGGCCTTCCTTGGTCTCCACCAGATTCTCCCCGGAGGGCATGGGCAGGTCCTTATCAGCCCGCGACCACAGCACTGGGGGGCGGGGCTTGCCATCCACCAGGCACACCAGCTCCGCCCCTTTTCCCTCAGACACTGTCACCATGCTACCACCAGGGGGCACCGTCAGCACAGGGGGGGTCACTGAAAAAGACAGCATGAGCCGATCTTGTCAACCACATCACAACACAAACACAACTGCCACACCCACTGGGGAGAATACAAAAGAACAACAGGCAAACTAGAGAGCTGCTGGGCCTTAGACAAACACGTACAAAATGCCTGATCCTGGTGACAGAGCGTCAGACGTTCCTGAGCAAGTCCACACCTGGCTGTCCAGAGAGGCTTATGTCCACTGTCAAACCAGATGCTTCTCTCTCTAGGACACGGATTGCCATCTTCATCCTCCTGCAAGTTCCTTGAAGCTGAACGGGACAGTTCTGCTAGGAGGATTGCCCCAATTTGCACAAACACCACTTGTGAAGTCCAGCTGTTCAGCAAGAGCAGAGCTCACTTTTCCATCATAGAACCGACCTGAGGAATCCCAGTCCGAGACTGAGTCACTGGGACTGACATCTGCAATCCTGACAAGACTGACATTCACGACTCAGGACAGGGCTTGGACAGACACATACCTAGACTACAGGGTGTCTACACTGGCCCCAGAACTCAGTCCGACAAAGTTGTTCCAGAGATCTGCTCTCCTGGAGGAGCAGCAGGCCAGTCACAGCTCAGGTGATTGGTGCTCAGGGCACTGTGTCTGCTAACCCTGGCGAGACCTGTTCTTGAGAACCTGGTCAGGGAGTTTCCAGAGCTGCTCGTGTATAATTGTTCCAAACCAGAGACCCCAGATAACCAAGGTCAAATTGTTCTGATTGTACACCTACTTGACGTTTACCTGTCATCCCGCTTACATACCGCACAGCTCTGCTGCAGGAGCAGGACAGAAGGAGGAGCAGGACAGAAGGAGGAGAAAGAAGAGGGAGTGGAGAAGAGAGGTGGTGGGCGTGAGAGGACGGGAGGATACAGGGGTGGGATCTGCACTCTGCTCGCTCACCGCTGCTCTGGGTGATGTTGACATCGACTCTTAGCTCGGGCACAGAGCTCCCAGGAAACCGGGCCACACAGCTGTAGGTGGCTTGGTCCCGGAACTTCATGTCGATGATCTCCAGGCTGCTGGTGCCCGGAGCCATGTCAGGGTCACTGCGCAGAAGAATCAGGCTCTCGGAGGGCTGGACCGGGGCAGAGTTCTTGTACCAGGAGTAGCTGACCTTGTCCTGTGGCTGCGCGTCCACGTGGCAGGACAGCTTGAGGTCACGACCCATCTGGATAGTCTCGCTGTCCTTGTTGGAGTCTGGAGTGATCTGGAAGGTGATGTTCCTTAAGACTGGGGGAGAGATGAAGGGCTTATTCGCAGGATCTCTCCTTCCTTCTGCTGCCCTTCTGCCACTTCCCCTGCTTTTCACCATTATTCCTCTTCTCCTTTCCTCTGTCCCTCTACATCTTCCACCTCTCCACCTCTCTCTACATCTTCCACCTCTCCACCTCTCTCTACATCTTCCACCTCTCCATCTCTCTACATCTTCCACTTCTCCACCTCTCTCTACAGCTTCCACCTCTCCACCTCTCTCTTCATCTTCCACCTCTCCACCTCTCTCTACATCTTCCACCTCTCCACCTCTCTCTTCATCTTCCACCTCTCCATCTCTCTACATCTTCCACTTCTCCACCTCTCTACATCTTCCACCTCTCCATCTCTCTCCATCTTCCACCTCTCCACATCTTCCACCTCTCCATCTTCCACCTCTCCATCTCTCTCCATCTTCCACCTCTCCACCTCTCTACATTTTCCAACTGTCCATCTCTCTCCATCTTCCACCTCTCCATCTCTCCACATCTTCCAATTTCTCCACTCCTCTCACCTTCTCTGTTCTTAATTTTCCTCCTCTTTCAATCTTTCACTCTCTAGCCTCTCAGCTCTTCTGCCCCCTTTATCTCTCCCTCACTCTTCTGTCCCTCACTCTTCTCTCTCACACTCTCCTCTCCCCCTCACTCACTTCTCTCTTCCACACTCTCCTCTCCCTCACTATCCTCTCTCCCTCACTCTCTACCAATGTCCAATGAATTACAGTGTTGCCAAAGCAGATGCAATTAACACAGCATATACAGGCGTTTACAGTACAAACACATTATTGGACAATTA